GTGCTTATGCAGGCCCCCTTTACGGACCTCTTAGGAATGGGGTGAGGTCTACGGGAGACAGTTTGAGGTTGAAGCTGTGGGGGTTAGAGGATGTGCAAGGAAGAGGAAGAGAAAAGCAATGGCAATTGTGTGGTCCTTCTATCTCTCTTAACTTGGTTGTTTTCTTGCATATGTCCCATTACCCAGGTAGGTAACATCATCAATGCTAGAGAAGACAGTGGGTAGTGTGGAGAGGAGCGGGAGGAGGGGGGGAGGGGGAGGAGAAAAGCAATGACAATTGTGTGGTCCTTGTATCTCTCTTAACTTGGTTGTTTTCTTGCATATGTCCCATTACCCAGGTAGGTAACGTCATCAATGCTAGAGAAGACAGTGGATTGTGTGGAGAGGAGCGGGAGGAGGAGGAGGAAAGCAATGAGATTTGTGTGGTCCTTGTAACTATCTTAACGTGGTTGTTTTCTTGTAGATGTCCCATTACCTGGTAGGTAACGTCTTCACTGCTAGAGAAGACCATGGGTTGTGTGAAGAGGAGGAGAAGGAGTAATATAGGGTCCTTGGAACTCATTGAATGTGGTTATTTTCTTGCGGAAGCTGCGTGACCCAACCAGGAACTTCATCACTGCTAGCATGAGACGAATACCAATAAAGGGCAATATTTGAAGTTCAGGGTTGAAATGAAATGAACAGTAGTGAAATATCTGTGAAAAATAATAATAACTCCACAAAGCTCAGAGAGCGGAAAGGAACCCACATTTCAAAAGTAGGTTTCCAATGCCTCCTTCCTAGAGAGAGTGTGACTGGCTTCCCAGTTTCTAGCTCGATGCCTTAAACAGATCTGCTGAGCTGCCAGGCATGATAAAAGTCCATGATCCAATCTGATCAGCTGTGCAATTGCTATTTTCATGAGAAGTCCATTTCTCTCTGTGCGTTTGTGTTTTTCTCTCTCTGTTTCTGTGTGTTTCTTTCTTTTTCTTTCTGTCTCCATCTCTCTCTTTCTCCCTCTCTCTCCCTCTCTCACTGTCTCTTTCTCTCTCTCTCTCTCTCCATCTCTATCTCCATCTCTCTCTCTCCCTCCATCTGTCTCTCTCATCTTTCTCTATCTCCATCTCTATTTCTCTCCATCTCTGTCTCTTTCTCTCTCTCTCTCCATCTCTCTCTCCATCTCTGTCTATCTCTCTCCATCTCTCTCTCTTTCTCTCTCTTTCTCTGTCTCTCCATCTGTCTCTCTCTCCATCTCTGTCTCTCTCCATCTCTCTCTATCTCTCTCCATCTATCTCTCCATCTCCGTCTCTTTCTCTCTCTCCATCTCTCTATCTCCATCTCTCTCTCTCCATCTCTCTCTTTCTCTCTGACTCTCCATCTCTCTCTCTCCATATTTCTCTCTCTCCATCTCTCTCTCTTTCTTTCTCTCCATCCCTCTCTCTTCNGTCTATAAATGGGTATAATCCGATTTCAAGTAAATTCCCACGATTGTTTTCCTATCAGTTGAAACAAAGGAGGATCTATTTTTTTACCTCCCCAATAGGATCATAAATATGTATGGAAGTGAAACTCATTGGATTCATGAGCTGACCAACAAACAATTAAACCAGCATTAGTGATGTCCATAACCAAACATTATATTAAAATGCCTGTGGAGATTCTCAGTCATCCAGATCATGGTTGTCCCAAAGATGGTTTTTCAAGAGGCCATGGGACTTTCTTTGTTTTTCCTTGAAGAGGTTTCGCTTCTCCTCTAAGAAGCTTCTTCAGTTCAGACAACAGAGAATTGAAGAAGCCTCCTAGATGAGAAGTGAAACCTCTTCAAGGAAAAACAAAGGAAGGCCAGTTGAAAAAGCACCTTTGGGATTTCCAACAGGGCAATACGTATCCAAAGAGGCAACCACATGAATGCCTCCATTTCGTCCTTGGGTCAAGATGTCTTCTGTGATTTCATAAATGGTGGCATATATGGGAGATCGTCATGAAAATGTCGTTGTTTGATTCTTCCCCATAAATGTTCATGACTTACATAGGTCAATTTCTATTTACGGAGAACAATGTCCCTGCAAGCAGCATAAATTAGATCTCTTACAACATATGTAGTTTTGTTCCATTCTAGATAAAGAGGAATAACTGTAGCTATTGAAATGAGGGGCCTTTGGTGCTCTCTGAGCTTGTTTTCTTGGTCTTTTCTAGACCAAGACAAGTCAAAAAAAGGCCAGGGAATTTCTAGAAGCCTGGCACTCGGATACATTAGCCATCAACAGACACATAGACATTAACAACATCTACAGACAATGCAAAAAAGTAACAATCAAGCCAGTGGTGAGTTTCAAAACTTTTTCAAACCTACTCTGTGGGTGTGACCTCCTTTGTGGGAGTGGCTTGCCGGCCATGTGACCTGGTGGGAGTGGCTTGCTGGCCATGTGTTTTCTTTCTTTCTTTCTTTCTTTCTTTCTTTNTGTTGGCATGGTGATGTCTCTGCTTGTTAGTCGGGTGTCTAGATTTGCCATAGTGGTTTTACATCCAGTCAAATTAGCCCTTTGGAAAATACCAAAACTCTGATGCTCAAAGAGGTCCATGGAGATTCTCAGTCATCCAGGTCATGGATGTCCCAAAGGTGGATTTTCAAAAGTTAACTGGAGTTTATTTTTCCTTGAAGAAGTTTCACTTCTCATTCAAGAAGCTTTTTCACACCTGAAGAAGCTTCTTGGATGAGAAACAAAAAAGTTTCTTGGAACGGATCAAGCTTCTTGGGTCAGAAGCAAAATGTCTTCAAGGAATGTCCAGTTGCCTTTTGGAAAAGCACCTTTCTCATCATTGGTGGTGAATCCTTGAGCTGGAGATCTCCTGAGCATTAGTCCTTGGACTTTCTCTATAGGAAGTGGGTGTTGAACTCTGGTTCTTTCTCATGGAATCCTAGGACTGGAAGGGGCCTTGGAGGTCTTCTAGTCCAACCTCCTGCCCAAGGCAGGAGTTCCCTCTGGGGATTCCTCAAACTGGAGATCCTGAGCATTGAGCCTTGCACTTACTCTATGGGATGTGGATGTTAAACTCTGATTCCTTCTCATAGACTCCTAGGACTGAAGGGGGCCTTGGAGATCTTCTAGTCCAACCCTCCACCACAGCCCAAGGCAGGAGTTCTTATACCATCCCAGACAAATAGTTGTCCGACCTTTTCTTGAAAACCTCAAGAATGTAGATATGCCCAATATTCCATGCTGGGAAGAAAGATGATATATATAGTTTTCCCGTCAAATGATCCCCTCTTGGAATTACCTGCATGTAGATGTGTTTGTGTGCATGATTTTCCTAGATGAATTTAAGTCCTTCATGAAGAAACTACCTAACAACCATTTCCTGACCATTGGGAGCATCCATCAGCACTGGGGGAATGACTGGGACCTTCAAAACCGCTACAAGCTCTTGCAGAGCTCCATGGAGGCCCAACGGCAGAAGATCCAACGCACTTCCCGTAAACTCTTTGGCCTCAGCATCCGTTGTCGGCACAATCCACACCACCAGCTGCCTAGGGAAAGGTACTGGCCTTCTGCTTTTAGCTGGTGGATGGGTGTCCTCTACTTGAGACCACAATTAGGATCAGAATTCCTGCTCCTAAACATACCTGCTTAGTGACACAGCCAAGGTATAAGCAGATCCTCTAAGGCCATGCAGGTAGAGGGATGATGTTGAAGAGCAGGAACAGTGCTTAGACTTATATACTGCTTTAAAGTGCTTTACAGCCCTCTCTAAGNGGAGCAAGATCTTGAACTTTCAACTGGGTGGGGAAAAACTTCAGATTTGGGTTTTCCCAGATGTGCCAATATGGCTCTCTTAATAAATTGGAACTGTGAGCAATACTTTGCCTTGGACTCTGATTTAGTTTTGGGTGCTGTTTGGAACCTTAAAATCAGATGGATATGTCTTCTCGTAGAAGAATAATTAACGAGGCTACGGTTTTCTGCTGCTTCATCCGCCACACTGACGATTTAGTCCTGCATCTGCCTGAGTGAGACACACAGACAAATATTTCAAAGATCCGCAGGAAGGCTGGACTTTTGGCAGTCCTTGTTCACCATCCTTGGTTACCTCCGGGAAGCTGATGGGCTTTGACAAGCCGAGCTTCCTGAATGTGAAGAAACAGCTGCAGAGACACTACAGGCCTCGGGCTGCCCAGTGAAAACTGCCGACATGAACAGAAAGCATGGATTGCTGAACGATAGCATTGCCAGCCACTTGTGCACAACCATGGATGTCCACTTAGCCAAGAAAAGTTGGTTTCTTGCAGTGACCTTGCAAGCGTTCATTTTGGTTCAGCTTCTGGGACAGCGGAACTACCAAAACAGCAGCTGGAAGGAGGCATTAAAAGTCCGCAAATTTATAGATTGTGTTCTCACAAGCTCTTCAATGAGATCAGATACAGAACCTTACAAATTTGTCAAACAATGAGCCCCGTTTGATTAGGGGGGATGGGTTGGACTAGTGTTAGACATTCTCTTTATATATAGCACCACAGAGCAAACAAAGAGTACAGTCACCATGTGCTTTACTGCTCAGCTATTGAACTGTACCAGGAAACCGGAAACTCTACTCAGAACAAAAGAGCATAGAGTATATACCATAGATCCAAACCTGTAAATACTGCCATCTACTGGCTGAATACTACTGTAGTTGTTAAATGTCTATGGAGATTCTCAGTCATCCAGGTCATGGTTGTCCCAAGTTGTTGCCTAGAAATACATTCCATCAATGAACTCCAACAACTAGAAGACCCCCTTGGTCCCTTCCAGCTCCGTGATTCTATGATTAGAGCTTTCCGGATGTGAGGTTCAGCATGTTAGATCAATCTTGCCCGTTGGATTCTTTATGGTTCAATATTATTGTGGAAACCTCAAAAGCAGGTCAGCTTTCCCACCACACAGGCTAAGCCCTGGTGAATCTGCTAGAGAAGTCAAGGGAGACTCTCTCTCCTTGTCCTATTTTTGATCTCCCTTTCTCTCTTCTTTCTCTCTTCCCTGCAGGTCTCCAGGTCATCTTTCCTCAGTATTTGCAAGAGAAATTTGTGCAGTCAGCACTGAGTTACATCATGTGCAACGGAGAAGGTGAATACATTTGCCGAGATAGCCAATGCGGATGCCAATGTGCCGAAGAGTTTCCCCAGTGCAATTGTCCCATCACCGACATCCAAATAATGGAATACACCTTGGCTAACATGGCCAAATCTTGGACAGAGGCCTACAAAGATCTAGAGAATTCAGGTAATTGTGGGGAAAGGCAAGAGTGTTTTGGTGGGATGACATAGCAAGTGGCTTTTGTTGTTGTTAGTCACTAAGTTATGTCCAACCCATCGCGACCCCATGGACAACATTCCTCCAGGCCTTCCTGTCCTCCACCATCCTCTGGAGTCCATTTAAGCTCACACTGACTGCTTTGGTGACTCCATTCAGCCACCTCATTCTCTGTGGTCTCCTTCTTCTTTTGCCCTCCATCATTCCCAGCATCAGGCTCTTCTCCAGTGAGTCCTTCCTTCTCCTTAGGTGGCCAAAGTACTTGAGTCTCATCTTCAGGATCTGGCCATCTAAAGAGCAATCAGGGTTGATCTCCTCTAAGACTTACCGGTTGGATGGCCTTGCAGTCCGAGGGACTCGCAGGAGTCTTCTCCAGCACCAGAGTTCAAAGGCCTCCATTCTTTGGCACTCAAGCCTTTCTTATGGTCCAACTTTCACAGCCATCCATTGCAACTGGGAAAAACAGCCTTGGCTATAAGCACTTGTGTTGGCATGGTGATGTCTCTGCTTGTTAGTCGGGTGTCTAGATTTGCCATAGTGGTTTTACATCCAGTCAAATT